CCCTGCAGTCCCTGTGTTCTTCCCTCCCCTGGTTTGAACCCTCTCCTCGCTCTCCCCTGCTGTTTGCCTCTGATCTACTTGACATGAATCTTTTGGTTGCATCCCCTTCAGAGCTTCCATCTCATATAAACACACTGCCTGCAACCATCCAGATAAAGAGCCAAGTTGCCCTACCCATGAAGTTTCATATTTGTGACAACTTTTATTGACCTACATAACTTGCCTCTTGCTTTTACTTTCCTATACTGTAATTCTCATTCTTATGTTTTAAATCCACCAGTAAGGAATGAAACTTTGAAGCCTGACGCACCAAACCCTGAACCCTAATAAGGTCAGAATCCCAGGTCTGCTATCCAGCTATATTGACCAACAACCTCACTGGGTAGCCCTGGGCATTCTATATATTGTTCAGAACTTGTAAGAAACAAATTGTGTTTTCTCTATGTTCCCTGATGTTTCTTGCTGAGATGTGTCTTGTGATCCACAAGGGCCTGTCCGTTTACATTTGCTCCAAAGGGGGTTCACCAGAAGTAAGATGGCCCCCCCATAGGTGCCATCAGTCATTCCTAGCCAATGGTATCACCTATCAATAGATTGAGATCAAGCCCAAACAAAATAGTTCAGGACCCTCATAACTCTGGCTATGCCACACATTAGCCTCTTAGTGACTAGGTAGTGAGTTGGCCCATGGTCCAGAAAGAAAATTTGAGGTAGGTCAGCTACCAGGTATGGGAACAAAGAAGTATCTCAATATTGTTTCCACTGGCAAAGATATAAAACCATGTGCTAGCCAATGGACAGCCTGTTTTAGTTCAACCTGTTCTACTAAATATCACTGGTCCTCATTTACAACATAATGTTATGATTCAACTTATCCAAAAACATCAAAATCTTCCTATTTGAACAATAGATTATATACCATAGGGTATAGCATAACACAAATTTTATTCAATATTTTTAGCAAACTGACTGTGATGTTAACAACAAAATATTAGGACTTGAAAAGCTAAAGGGAAACAAATCCAATTGATAGTTATTTAAACTATCTCAATTTTAGATTCTTTCAACTATAGCAGGTTGAGAGTTCAAAAGATAAATAACATTATGGTACTGCAATTTCCTCTGCTGTAAATTCAGAATTACACTTCACAAAGAGATCAATTAAACAGAGTATTAGATAATATGTTAGCAAATTCAACCAGACATACCCTAAAAGCAAGCTTGGTCAATAGTCTAAAGATCCTCACACCAATGCTGTTTTTTAGTGGTAATGTTATTCCCTGTCAAACATTCAAATGTTCCAGCATTTCATTTAACCCCTCTTAATGGCATTTTTCCTCATTCACTTTTTCACAAGTCTCATGCTTCACAATCACAATGCACATGAATCTCTTGGAAACATTTCTTAAAATACATTTCTTGATTCCTTGGCGATGGGGTGAGGAATGAAATTCTGCCATTCAAAGAAGTTCAATGACTGTCCCCAGATCAGCGAGCTCAGCACCAAAGGGAAACAGTTACATAGGCACATTTGCAGGTCCCAACCAAGATTTAGGGACCAGGAAGTCAGTAGCTCTGGTGGTAGGGCTACTAGGAATTTTTTTTAAGCAAGCCCCAGTGAGTCCACTGCAGGGTGCTGAAGAAACTCTGGTCTACAATTAAGTTAGAATCAAGTAAGGAACTTTTAAAATTAGCAGTGCCCAAATTATCCTTCAGGCAAATTTTATCAATCTTATTGACTTTTCAAAACTCCCCAGGGAATTCTAGTGTCCAATCATGATAACTACAGCTCTTGGAGAAAACAAATGGTATTTGAATAGTACTCCCTTATCTATTTCATAGATAAAGCATTTAGATTTCTTTCATTTGGCTAGTTTTAATTTTCAAATACTAAGGTAGGTCTTTTATGAAAGTGCTGAAATGGTTTTCTTTGCTCTAAAGGTATTGAATAAAAACTGGGTATTAAAAAATATACAGGGGGGCCTTCCCTGCTGGCACAATGGGTTAAAGCACAGCACTATGAGGGTAGCCACAGCCCTTTTAGCACAAGTTCAATCCCTTGCCAAAGAGGTGACCCACATCACATAGCAGACCTCTCCTCCAGTCTCGCCTGCTGCTCCCCTCAGCAGTGTACTTCATCTATCTGCCTGAATCCTCAATTTGTGCTTGACTCAATTTTGCAAGGAGGCACTGCTAACCCAGGTTAACTTCCTAGTTACCTGAAACATGCAACTGAAATCAGCTCTTGAATTCACAATACTAAACTTCCTAGGGTTGGGGTTAATCATTAAGCTTTCTTTGGTGTTTTTAGGATTACAGTGAAATTAATCACCTTTAAAAGAAATGACAGCTCCAGAATGCAAGCATTTGCGCTGATCCAAAGATCACTACCCTACTTGTTTAAACTTTCCCAAGAATGTAGTCCTAACTGGTGAGTATGGTCAACATCAATGGAGTAAGTACTACATTGCCACCAAGAAAGAGAACATGCCACTAGTTCTTTTTCCAATCCACTAGACTGGTTACCTAAGCCTTATATAGTTCCCTCTTCCTTTTTCTATCCTCTTTCTGCCTATAAAAGGCTCTCATTTCGTACAGCTGTTCACAGAACCTTTGTATGTACTAGATAGGATAGTGATCATTTCGTGAATCACTGAATGAGGCAATAATAACTTTAAAATTCACTAGGTTGTTTTTTTATTTAACACACTCAAAGCCCTAACTATCATTTATAACAAGTCTATGTAAAATGCCAGTCATACAGTAAACCCATAAAGCAGAGGCAACAATTTCAGGATACTATGCTCCTTTTTCTTCAACCTGGAGTGAAATCTACTATGTAAAATAGGGTATCACAATATTCTAGCGCCTTTTAGTACATCTGATTTCTATGTGAATTTGAAGATTTGGAGATGAACCAAAATAATTCTCACCTGCTAACAACTGAATCCCTGCCTCTTTTCCTTCTTCCACACTGAAAAATGTGCCTGTCCATCTAAAGATATATTGCTACACTAGAATGAGTCCAATTGCTCAATGAATAGTAGGAAGTACATGTATCAACAGTAGCCACTGGGATCATATTGAAGAGCTGAAATAATGATTTTTGAAACTAATGCCAATTCGAGAACATTCACTCTGTGATTGCAAGATGCCTACACAAGGATTTTACAGGATTTAACTGTGAAGTTAAAAGTTAGGGTGTTCTCCTAACCACCTGCTCAATATCCTATCTTCATCTTTTTGATACTTGAAGGTATCTTCTTTATTCTTACTTTCTATTGTCATTTAACTCATATAATATCCATTTTTAAATTTCCCATTATAATGTAAGTCCCATAAGGACAGGAGTTTTGTTTCCTCCCTCCCATTCTCTCTGCTACCAGACATCAACCTATGGGCAAGTGAAATCTGTTCATGACTCTCTTAAAAGCAACTATACTCTTGTCCCAGAAACCACTGAGCTTACACAGTATTTAATAAAACTGTTTCAGTCCTTGTCCTGTTAATATGCTCTCATCCTCCATTAGCTTTATGACATTCATGAAGACATTACTCCTCATTATTCTTATTGGTGAATTGACAGGTATATTCTATCTAGTGCTTTGGATAAAGTGCAAATTTGTGGCATACAGCAGAGAAAAATTAAACTTTTATAAACAAGATCAGTAGTGTACTCAAGGACATAATAATGCTTCCCAGCATGGAGGCATAGAGTTTAACAGGAGTCTAAAGCAATGCCACTGAAGAAATTTAATGTTAACCAAAAATGGACTGTTCACATCAAAACAGAAAAATAGTTTGAGAGGTGCACATTGGACAATTTTATCAATGTATGCAAGAAAGAGACATGGAAGCTGGAGTTCATAGGACTCCATGGACTGTGTCCTGGATACAATCACATTCTACCTTGAACACATCATTCTAATATCATCTGTCTCACTCTCTTCTAATTGCTAGCACATAAATATTTCCTTGACTATTCTTTGGACTTACTATATGGAGTTACTAGGTTACCTGAGTACATACAATAATATGAATCTTAGTATATAATTCATTCTAATGCTACATGTCATTACAGATATTTTAACAAACTTTATTGTTCTACACATAACCATCTTTAATTTGACAATTTAAATAATCTCAGTGTACAAGGTAAAAGTGGAATTTCTGATCTTACAATGCAAGAAATCCAGAATCATGGTTTCACTTAGATGTATCTGCATTTCCCTGAGTCTATTAAAGCAGCATAGAACAAAATCACATCACTGAAAAAACTAATTATGCTGAATTTTTTTGTTTACTTTATTTTTGTTTAGTGTTTATTTGGCATATGTTTTGTGCCAGTCCCTGCCTAGCTAACTCAATAATTAATATCTCGATGAATTTCTCACAATGGCAAATGAGACAGATTCTGAAATTATGCCCATTTTACCAGTAAAGAAACAGACTCAGAAAATTAAGTAAGTTCACTGATGTCAACAACAGCCAAGGTTCAAACACAGGCAACCTAACTCCACACTATCACTAAGTCCTCACTTAACATTATAGTAGTAAGTTTGTGGACAAAGAGCAAACCAATCCTCAAGTATCCTTTAGTTCAATATCTGCTGTGATTCTTTTTTTCAATATTTTAATGAAATGACATTGAACAAAAGGCTAATATTCAAGGACTTACCTCTGATATATATATATTGCTTTATATTATTACTCCTCCCATCCCCAGTCCTTTATTCTCCTGCTATGAGTGATATTATCTGATATTTTCTTTTTCTTTTAGGCTTATTTCACTAATCATGATCCCTTCCACCTACATCCAAGTTGCTGCAAAAGACATGAGCTGATCTTTTTTGATTGCTGAGTAATATTCCATCGTGTATATGTACCACATCTTTTAATCCAGTTGATGACTTTCCTTTTAACAGTATCCAATAGTGTAAAATATAAACCTATTCTTCCTCACTATCAGGAACAAAAGAAGACACATTTAAATATCTTACCAGTTATCCATGTTATCACAGAAAAGAATGTTGGTGAAAAACGACACAGGTTTACATGATTTGAAGACAAGGTGGCAAGTGACTGCAGTGTTTTTTCCATTGGGAGAGCCTGTGATCTTCATGCCACCCGGAAATGTCACAGCAAGAGGGTGGGTCACTTCACCATCCAAAAGTTTTGCTGTGGGAATCCGGACACGTAAAGTTGAATTTCTGTTTAGAAATTAAAAAAGAAAAACTCAGTTCAAAATCTGTAATTGTATTTAAATGTTGGTTTTTAGTGATTAGAAAAATTCAATCAACAAATATATACTAATATGCACTAATATTATACAATATATACAAATATGCACTAATATTAAGAATGTTTTTACAGCATTCCTTTTTTTCTGGTTATAAGTAAAATTAATAATACATTTATTTACCTGAGAACCACACAAAGTGATTAAAACTTCTTTCTGACTTTTAAGGGCTATAAAAAGTAGGACTAAGGCACCTGGTTAAATACAATGTGTTCTTAACCACAGTCATGATAAAAATATATTGTCCTTAAATATATCCTGACAAAGATTTGCCAAAATAACCACTTTAATAACTAAAAATTTAACACATGAGAACTACTTAAATGCAGAAACATATATTATTTTGTTTAATTTGACTACTATTAAGCACTTATATACATATGACATGAATATTTTTCAACTATTAAAAACTGCACAAACTTTAATACATTTCATTATATGGAATTTATTTGATCAATATAAATGTGATTTTAATAACAATATATGGTATTCACTTTTATGTAATTAACAGTTTGCAACTTTTAGTAGTCAATAAATATTTAACCATATTATTTTGCTTCATTTTATTATATATATTGGCTCTTGTAGCCAGTAAGAAGTGTTATCAAATAGGAATCATACATCCCTAGTATTTTTACGAGAGTGAAGATTTTTAGCTAATTAACTTGGGAAGAAAATCTCAACTTGAATTAATTAAACCAATATGGTTCATTGGAGAAAGCATGGAAAGTAATTTGTAAATTAGGTTTGAATCCAATTGTGTTACTAATTAGATAAGTATGTCAAAAACAAAAGACAAAGTGAAAAAAATTAGTAAAAAATCGGTAAGGACTTAAAACTCAATAACCACATTAAATGTAAATTGTTTGAATTCACCAAGTTAAAGATATAGAGTGGCTGAGTGAATTTAAAAACAAAGTCTAATCTTTTGCTGTTTACAGGAAGATCATCAAGAAAGACAAGCACAGAGTGAAAGCTAGAGACTGGAAGGCAAATGGTGATCAAAAAAGTCAGAAACAGCTATACTAACATCAGGTAACATACATATACTTAAATGTATACATAGATAATTCAAAAATGTAATAGGAGAAAAAGACTGACACTACATCATGATTAAGGACAAATAACAATTACAATTATATATGTACCAAATAATGGAGAATCAAGATACATAAGGTGATTATTAACAGAATTAAAGAAAGGTATCAGCAACATAAGAAATTTTAATACATCTTATACAAATTATTTCCAAGAATCCAAGGATAGGGAATGTTCGCCAATATATCATATGATGCAGCATTATCCTAGTACAAAAACCAGAACAAGACAGCATATGAAAACTGCCAACAATTTTCCTGATTAATATAAATATGACAATATTCAATGAAATACTAAAAAATCAAATTCAACATACATCATGAGGATTATATATCATGATCGAGTGCAATTAATCCCAGAATTACAAGAAGAGTTTAATATACATAAATCAGTAATACCTTATATCAACAAACAAAAAATCATACACAAAAAAGTACAGAGGGGTCCTCCTTAGTGGCGCAGTGGGTTAAAGCACAGCACTAAAGCCACTGCAGCATGAGCTCTATCCCTGCCCCAGAGGTGACCCACATTGTGCAGCTGACCTCTCCTGACCTGTCCGCTGCTCCCCTCAGCAGTGTATTTCATCAGTCGGCCTGTTCTGCTCCCTACTCTGTCTCTAGTGAATCTTCTCACCACCCCTGCACCTCTGACCTGTACCCCAGTTCTGTATGCATAAATAAATAAATATTTTTTTTAAAGTACAGGGAAAGCATCTGAGAAAATTCAGTATCCACTTCTGATAAAAAAAAAAAAGTCTAAACAATATGAGAATAGGAAGAACCTACCTCGACATAATAAATGCCACGTATCACAAACCTACATACAGCCAATATAATACTTAATGGTGAAAACTGAACATTTTGCCTTTAAGATCAGGAAGAAAACAAGAATGCTCATTTTCACAACCTCTTTTTAATTCAATATTAGAGATTATAACTACATCCATCAGAAAACTACATAAAATAAATGGAATCCAGATTGGAAAAGAAGTGAAATAATCATTTTTTTTTATATATGAGTTGATACTACTTATAGAAAATCCTAGAGACTACCAAAAAACTATTAGAAACAATGATCTTAACAGCAAAATTGCAGGTTACAAAATCAAGATTAAAAAGTCCATGGCATTATTTTATACAAATCATGAATGAGGAAAAAAAATTAAGAAAATAAGTCCTGTAACAATAACTTCAAGAAAACCAATACCTAGAATGAACCTGAACAAAGAGGACCATTGAGCACTACTTACATAATAAAGACTACAAGGCATTCGTGAAAGATATAAACCATGACATAAGGACATGGAAGACATTCTATGGTCTTCACTGGGGACAATCAATAGAGTTAATTGACTACTACCCCAGAAGCAATGTATAAATTTAACAATCCCCATTAACATACTAATAATATTCTTCAAAGAAATTGACCCCCCCCCAAAAAAAATTAATTTACATTACCATAAAGGGCCCTGAGTAGTTTAAGCAACACTGAGGAAAAGCATCAAAATGGAGGCATGACTCTATCTGACATCAAATTATACTAAAAAGTGATGGTAATTAAAATATTAACAACAGTGTATTAAAATAAAGGTAGATACACTATCAGGGAAAAGAATCAGAAGCCCAGAAATAAATCCACATACAAATCATAGATCATTCATGATAAAGGATCCACAACAACACAATGGAGAAAGAAGAATTTCCTTAACCAATAGTGCCGGGAAAACTGGAAAACTACATGCAATAAAATGAGTCACTCTCTAACTCTTTGCACAGAAATAAATTTAAATTGGATGAAAGATATAAATAGATGAAATGCACAGAAGAAAACATTGGCATTGCATTTCATGACAGCAGTAATAAAGATACCTTTGGAACTTCAACCCTCAAAGCAAGGGAAATGAAAACAAAAATAAACAACTGGGAATACCTCAATTTAAAAAGCTTTTAGACAGGAAAAGAAAATCTAAGTGGTTTAAAAGACATCCTGCTGATGGGAGAAAATATCTGTGCATGACACAGCCAACAGGGGTTAATATATAAAATATATAAAAGACATTTAAATCAACAATTAAAAATTCAACTAATAAATGGGTAGCATATCTGAACAAAAAAATTAACCAGAGGATATCCAGAAGGTAAATAGATAAATGGATAAATGTTCATCACTATTTTTAATAAGGGAGATTCAGGTCAAAATCATCATGATATATCATCTCATACTCCTGAGAATAGAATATATTAGAAAGCCCCCAAGAAACAAGTAAAACAGAGAGAATGTGGAAAAAGAAGAATCCTATTACACTGTTGGTAGAAATGTAAACTGGCAGAAATTTGGCAAAGTCATAAGGATTTACTTTGGAAGTTAAACACAGCAATACCAAATGAGCCAGCAATGTCATTCTTGGGTATCTGAAAAATAAGAAGTCATCACCCCCCCAAAATTATATTTTCTACAGTGTTTATTGCAGCACTATTTACAACACCTTCGAAATGGAATCTATCTAGGTGCCTACAGATAGGACTGGTTTAAAAACATGTTACTTTGTTTTGTTTCTTTAAAGGAAAACAAACCCCCAAAATCTAACTGCATAGCTGAGGTTAACATTTGGGGAGGATCAGAGGTAGAGAGCAAGGTGGGGAGGAAACCCAATGAACTATGGTGAAGGATTTTTGGTGTTTTGGCAGAGAGTATGGTATGGTAACACCCATCTGAAGAGGTCTGACCTTATACTCCAACTCATGTACTGCAACATAACAATGTTAACCTCAGCAGAAAATTAGATGCAGTTTAAAAAAGATGTGGGTTATGTTCACAAAATATTGCTGTTTACAACAAAATGGAAGGAGTTCAAAGGAATTCGGTGTAGTGAAAAAAATCAAATGACAAATATTGGACATTCACATAGTGGATGATTTGAGAAAGCCAAACATTTATAAAACTAACAATGTGAGGCTTCTGAGGTTAAGGCAGAGGGGCAGAGAAGGGACAAAGAGATAGGAGGAAGATGGAGGGGAAAAAACCTGCCCACTTTTTAAAAAAAAAATGGATTATTGTTTTTTTTTTAAGATTTATTTATTTATGCATAGAGAACTAGGGTACAGGCCAGAGGAGCAGGGGCAGTGAGAGGCTTCACCAGAGACAGAGTGGGGAGCAGAACAGGCAGATCCATGAAGTACACTGCCGAGGGGAGCAGCGGGCTGATCAGGAGAGGTCTGCCACGCCATGTGTTCTCCTCCAGGGCAGGCGGGAATCGAACTCATGCGGAAGTGGCTTAAGTTTCTTAGTGCTGTGCTTTAACCCGCTGCACCACCAAGGAGGGCCCGGATTATTGTTTTTTTTATAAAAGAATCTAACTCAGCAATAGATCCATGCAAGGAATGTGGGAAGGGAAAGGCCTTCCATGCCCTTAAAGGATCAGTACTGTTCATGGATCAGCAGTACCACTATCATATGGAAACTTACCAGAAGTACAAATTATTACATCCCATTCCAGACTTCCTAAATCATAAATTCTGCATGGGGCCCAATAATCTTAAATGTGTCAGATCACTCTGATATAGACTAAAATTTAAGCACTACTGATCTAGTTAAGATTTGCCTGCTTCTTCTGAAGATAGAGGAACTTATTTAACTGGGCCCATTGTAACCTTTTCTTGCACCCCTGGCTTAATCTTGCAATCTGAGGTTAAATAGCCCTACCTTGTAATTGTCCAAAGGCTTAAGAACAAGCCCACATTTGGCATTACTACCTTTTATCATACCTTCTCATTTCAGTTTGTGTGTATCTATGTTTGGCTTGTTTTGAGCACTGCAGTCTTCCCATACTCTTCAAAATATAAGCAATTGCACACACATATAAGATCTACTTGTTTTGTAGAGCAAGAGTTCAACTGGAATTTTTAGCTCTTTCTAATTTTTTTTAAATCCATGAGAACAGACTGAATTCCATTAGAGTATCTACAAATAATAGGCAGAATTCTAATGTCACCCCAAGGGTCCTTTCCCTTAGGACACAAACTCTACATAATTTGAATCATTTCAGTGTGGATAACAGTTGTATGATGGAATATCATTTTGATAATAAAGTTATGGTTTATGGTAATGGCAGAGGGACTCTGCAAGTGTAACTGAAGTCCCTAATCAATTAAATGTGAGTAAAGGAAAAGGGACATTACCATGGGGGATCAAATTTAGTAGGGTCTTAACAGAGGGTTGGGAGAGACAAACATGTCAGAGCCATGATCTTCTTTTGTCTTGAGACGCACTCTGTGAGGAGGGAACAGCAAGGCTGGGATGTCAAGTTGGCCTGACAGTGGCTCCAGCCTATAGTCAGCGAGAAGATACTGTGTTAGCCCCATAACTACAAGGATGAATGCTGCCAGCAACCAGGGAACACGGTGAAGGAATAAGCCTCACAGGAGACTACTGATACAGCCATCATGATGTCTGCCTACTGACACCTTGAGCCGTAGATGGGGCTAAGCTGACCCAGACTCATGACTCAAAGAAAATGAGGTAAGAAATTTATGTTTTAAGCACTCACTAAGTTTGTGGTAATTCATCACACACCAGTAGATAACTGATCACTGAATTTTTAAGCTTATTTCTTTATATGATAAAGAGAAACACAGAAAAAAAAAGGAATAAGAAAAATCAGTGACTAACTCTGAGATAAGTTTTTTACATTTTTAATTTCAATGAGCAGCTAAATATTTTAGTAGTTCTTTCCAATTAGAGAAACAAGTCCGATATTACTCATGGCTCAAGTAACACAGAACAACAAAGGCACCTAAGGAAAATGTGGAAAACTTATTATTACCTGAAATAGTTTTGAGGTAAGATGTTGATATCCATCACAGTTGCCACTCCCAAAGGAACAGGAGTGAAAAGTATGAATTGAGGCTCAAATGATAACTTGGGTGATTTTACCTCTCCAGTCAGATGTAACATTCGATAGCAAAGTGGATTATCATTCAAATACATAGGGATATCAACTGTGTATTTTTTCGGATGATCTATTGCAAAAAAAAATCAGTACTTTAGATTTATACACACATACAAACAAAAAGCATTTTCATAGTTCAAGTCTTACTAAACATAACAATGTACTGTGAAACTTCAACTCAATGAAACAGAATAGATTACACAAAAGTAAATTTATCTTACCAAGGAGCTTCAATGAACTCATTGAAGTAAAAATTTTTTAAAGTGCACTCTATCTAGAAATTGAACACATATTCTTACAATAAAATTCAGTTATTATGAGGAAATACATATACGTTAGGGAAAAGTATAACAGATTTCTTTTTTATTTGTTTTCTGTGCCTTACTAAAAAGCTCCCTCTCCCTTCAATATATACATAAGACCATAAAGGATTTCAGGGACCTACTGAGAATCGGGTAAGCCAAAACGAAAGGAATGTGCTTTCTCCCAGATTTTTTTAAGTTAATCAAGGTGGCCAGAGTTGACTGGCCAATTTCATTTTAGGATGATAGGAGATCCCCATGTGGCAACTCACCAAGAAAAAAGGCACTTTTTGTTGGGGCAGTTGAAGACTAGCCCCAGATATTAGGTTCCATTACAGCAAGTTGACAACACCCATTAGACCCATATTCTTTTTTTTTTTTTTTTTAAGATTTATTTATGCTTACAGAACTGGGATACAGGCTAGAGGTGTGGTGGTTGAGAGGATTCACCAGAGACAGAGTAGGGAGCAGAACAGGTGGATCTACTGAAATACACTGCTGAGGGGAGCAATGGGCAGATCTTAAGAGGTCTGCCATGCCATGTGGGTCAGCTCCCTGACCAGGGATCAAACTTGTGTTATAGAGAGCTTCATAATGTGGTGCTTTCACCCGTTGCGCCACCAGGAACAGCCCTAGGCCCATATTCTTAAACAGTGTCTCACAGGGTGAAAACTGTCATCTTATAATTACAAATCTAAGTTGATAGTTGACAATACCAAAAATAGGGCACCAGAGTGGTCTAGTAGGAATCAAAGCCTTCAAGGGTAACTAACACCAGCAGAGAGGATGAGAATGTTCTGCATGATAAAGGGTTATGTTCAAAAGTGACCTTGTGAACCATAAACAAAAGCAATGGACTCAGTGAAGTGACCAGACCCACTAGCTCTCTCTGCTGTTAGTCTTTACTTGGTCAAAGAAGTTCATGATTTGTTCAGATTACCTCGAATACTTAGGAATTGTGAGGTGACAAAAGAGGGTTGGGACTTGGTACACATAATGGAAGGCAAGTACTGGAAAGATTATGTGAAAATAGGAAAGACTGTATCTATGACTTAAAGTGATAAAATGAACTGTAACATAACTTATGTATTTAAAGCATTATAAATCTATATAGTAAAAACATGGTTTCATTAATGAAATCAATATTGCTAATGTATTTGGGGGAGAAAATCTAGTTTATTAATTTCAAAGTTAGGCAAGGTTTTAAGACTTTTTGAATTATGAATTGTGAATGGGGTGCTGTGGGAACATTTCTGCAGTCATGGAGAAGTGGGTTCCTTGTGTAACCTCTGATGACTGAGGGGATTCAATAATACTTTTTCTGAAATCAGCTGTGCTTTCCATCTTGTCTAACATAACTTTATATAGAGATGGTACAGGCATGTTTATATATTTTGGTATCCTAAGAAAGGAAGCCATAGATTGGATTCCTGCAGTTCCAAACTATCTGAAGGAAAGGTCAAATTAAAATGTTTCTTATTTTTTCTAGACTGCTCTGTCCATTTCATTTGGATAGAAACATTGATAGGAACATAATGGAGAAGTTCTGTACAGACATATAGATAATGGCTTTAGATGGAATAGCTTTTCTGATTCTTTCAGAATCAAACAGAGTAGACACAGCAATGAAACCAGAGGAATGCACAATGAAACCTACTTATTTTTACAAAATAAAATTGAGAATATCAAAAATATTTGATGTTTTCTATCATATTTGCACATTTCTAGACAGAGGTAGTAAAAGACAAAACATTTTTTAAATCTGCAAATCCTATATAGTATCCTATGTACTGTTTAAATAACATAAACTACAATGATTATATAATACCATACCAAGTAGTAAAGCAGGACACCAATTTAATGCAAAATCCTGCTAATAGATTACTATCAGAGAGCACATGCAGCATAATAAATGCTCTAAAAAAGCTTAAAAGGGGTAATAAGTTCTTATTCTGCCTTTTGTATTGGTAACATCTAGGTCTGGGTATTTTATTTTGAAGCCACATGTGTAAAACATAGTAGTTGCTAGAAACTAAAAGTGGGAGGAATGGAATGTCGTACAACTTTCTGTCAACAAAGAAATAAAAAATAAAAATTCAAATTATTTCAACAAATTATTAAGCTACTGAGATGGAAAGAAATAAACTCATACCATGATTTCTTTTAGTCTATAGCTAAGCTCACTGATAGTGTGTAATCATAAAACTGATAGGAAATTACCTTTGAAACAAGTGTTTTAAAGGTTTCAAGGTAACTACACAGAGAAAAGAAATAAAAGATACAGTATGCAAAAAAAAAACCTGATCTATACATAAAATTTGAGAAACATAAATGAAATGTGAATAAAATTGCATGAACATGAAGAAATCCTAACATGAAATAGGAAAAGCTCAAATTTCTTCCTTACATGTTACATTTCAGTCTCATACAAGAAGAAAAGCAAGGTCCTTTGGTTTAAAATACTTACCCTAATTTAAAAGATACAATTGAATAAAAAGTGATATATCACCCAAACAAACACAGACAAAAGGAAGACAATTTGGACTCTCACATAAATAGCACTCAAGGAAAAAATATTTTGTGAATAATTAACAAAAAATTAAATGCATAAACTTATTTATAAGAGATATATTAGACATACATTTTTCATAACATCCAACTATACAGGAAAACAATTGGAGTCAAGAAATGAACTGATACTGTAGAAACAGATTCAAACAGCTCACAGTAATAACTGCAATGCAACTGTGATACAAATATAATGTAAGAGCTTTACAGAATTAGAAGTATACAAAGGTAGAGGAGGCAGAGAAAAGGTACAAATAATGTAAATGAAGACAAAAGTATTAGATATTCTGACTTATCAGTTATTTACTTAGCAAACAATGCACAATAATATCTAAAACACCAGAGCCGTTCACTACAAGAAGTACCAGATAATGCATAAACATATTATTTTATAGAATCACAGTTGATTTAAAAGAATAATGAGAGAAGTCTCATTCATAATAATGATGCAGATAAAATAAACTTCAATTACTGGAAAAACATGTTATTCTTTCATGGAGAAAACTCAATTATATGCTTTTTTTCCTAGAAACTGTAAAAAATAATCTACAGTTCACTTAGAAAAGTAAGTGATAAAACTTGCCAAGAAGTTTTGTAATAGGTGTTTAATGAGAGCAAACTTGTCATACTAATTACAAAATAAGTACAGTAACACTGCAATGAAGAAAAGAAAAAGACAGAAAAGAACTAGAAATATAAATAGACATGCAGGCTAGCTTACCCCAAAGCGAGAATTCAAGCTCACACGCTAGATGTTGCAATATTTCTTCTGACCTAACCTTGCAGCTCACACACTATCACATCCATAACAACCACAGTCACATATCAGCTCTAACTTCATGTAGAAAGTAACGATACAAGGCATGAGTGCCTGAGATAACGAATATTGGGAAACATTTTTGAGGCTAATTACCATAAGATTCTAGGAAGAAACTTCTTTCAAATGTTTTAAGAACACATAAAAAGCAACCTAAACATTTGTATACATGATAAAATAATATGTGATGGATAAATTGAAGTATCAACAACAAACATAGGAAAATAGTACTCACTTGGACAGAAATTTATGGAAACAGTACACTCTTCATGTGGTCCCAGAGTCCCACGCAGTAGGCTAAGTTCAAATGTGCCACCTTGGAAAACTTTATCGTAATTGTTAATTTCCAAAATCCAGTCCACATTTTTTTTTGAAATATTATGTATGACAAGATTCTGTTCACAGTCAAAAAAAAAAAGAAATTTATAAAAATTATCATGGAATATAAAACTCAAGTTTCTACTACCAAAGCTATGCAATGGACTCATGCACAATGAGGTGATTAACGACAGTAATCACACACACACACACACACACACACATTTTAAAAATGACATTCAGTAAGCAAATGTGAATGCGAATATTTTAAGAGCCTACTAATGACTGTTAAAAGTGAACAAAAATAGAAACTTAGATAAAATAAAAATATCAAAGTTATGCTAGCTATCAAAGATGGAGAGTAACGAGAAATTATTCATTGTAGAGAGAAAGCAAAGTATAGAGTAGTCACTTCGGAAGACAGTTTGGCAGATTTTTATGTGAAACATACACCTATCACATGACACAGTATTCCATTTTTAAGTATTTACTTAAATAAAGTGACACTTTACATTCACACAAAAAATTTTGTCAATGTTTCATAACAGCTTTGTTCTTAATGACCAAACAGTGGAAGAAGAAACAAAACAAGGATTCCCACAGCTAAAGAATAGATAACAAACTGTGGTATGTAGCTAGACAATGGAATAAAGTACAATGATAAAATAAGTGAAGTATTAATTCATACACAACATAAAAGAACATGAGCTATATTTTGTTATGTGAAAGATTGAAAACCCAAATTGTTTCTTTGTGGAAATGCAAACTTGGATGGATGAAAAACAGTGGCCGTGAAGTGTTGGTGAAAGAGTCAACTGCAAATGCATTAGCTCTGAGAAGTTATAGTATGATGCAATCATTCTGTATGGTAGTGGTTACTACCATAGAGTAATAATGACTCTAATATCACTTTCAAAAATTGTATTGTACAAAGTGTCCTCTTCAATCTACATAAATTAAAAAAAAATCAAACAAGATATTGGGGATCCAGGATACTGTGTTCTATAACAAGCCATTAACTGGATTAAACAAACTCACTGAAGTTCGTGAGGTTTCGGAGAAATAGCCTAGCTTAATCTAGAAAACTGTTTTGACTGAAAACCATAAAGCTGAGACAAAAAGTTCATCTTTGCAAACACACCATCTACCTGGTAAAGTGATAGCAATTCTTACAGCCGACAAAGTTCAAAAAGATGAGAATTTAGCCCATTTACTCTATCTCCATTTCTCTCTCAACCTTCCAGTTCTGGATATTTATATTTCAATTCTTCCACTAGCCACTGATAGCCTTAATCAATATATTTATAACTCCAGTTCCTTTTCTTTCACCTTTTGATAATTTCCTTTAGCTATCCACTACGTAAAATTGCTACAACTTTCTTCCACCACTCACAAACCTCTACTCAACTTTCACAAATTTATTGTGCATATCATACATATCATTTTACATAGATTTATCACATTTTAATTCTGTTCATAAGCATATAATTCTCTATAGTATATATTTTATTATGATTGTAAATCTCACTCATGGAAAATCCAAGTTGTGTATTAGGCCACATTTTTTTCTCTTTTGAGCCCAATCCTTTGCCACTTGAGAAAAAGTTCTTACTGCCTAGATCATCTTTTATTACATCGATTTAATAATAATTCAACGCTAGAACTAGCCTTGCTTCTATAAAGGGATTGCTTTTCTCTGCAATCCAGTCAAATTCAGTTCACTAAAGCTTTTTCTAGCCCCACATACAAGGACTTTTGCATCTCTGGCATTAAGAATTAGAAATTTTACTGACTTTTTATACTTGAAGCAGTCACACTTTGATGTAATAAGCATTCTTTTATTGTTTTATAATTATAATTTCATACAGTGCTGTGCTATTATTTTATGGATGAAATGTTAAATATTTTATCAACATAATTTTTCTTCAAAGTTACAGAAGCTCAAAATTAACTGGCAGAAAATCAATATGACAAAAAGGTGCACTACAAAACAAATTTCTACAGTTATGTATGAAGATCATGTTTGTGGACATCTTTTTTTTTTCAAGGTGGGGTCATAATTAGAATGGAGGTAGATATCCAGTAAGAAAAAAATAGTAGGTTATCACATAAGTTATGGTATATATATCTGAACAGTTCACAGATTTATTATTGCCTCTCACCACATTTCCTTAGTTATATGAAACATGTTTCACATCAGTTAGAATCACTGCTTCCATTTGTATTAAGAGAGTGAAAATTTAATTTTATTTAATGTTTTGAACAGCCCTATTAAATCTATGCATATACAAAATGCATGCCTTTTTACATGCTTGCATACTTGGAAAGTAACTTTTAAGGAAGAAAGTATGTGTAGATATAATTACTGAAGTTCACTTAAAAAATGAAAGTAGGGCCCTTCCTGGTGGTACAACAGGTTAAAGCACAGCACTACAAAGATAGCTGCATGAGTTCGATCCCCAGCCAGGGAGGTGACCCACATGGTGCAGCAGACCTCTCTTGTATTGCCCGCTGCTCCCCTCAGCAGTGTGCTTCATCCATTTGCCTGTTCTGCTCACTATTCTGACTCTGGTGAATCCTCTCACCACCCCTGCGCCTCTAGCCTGTACCCCACTGCGGTATGCAAAAATAAATAAATCTTTAAAATAAAAATGAAAGTAATCATACAAAACATGCTTCAATTCCATAAACTAAAAACTGTAATCAGAAAACAGCTGTATACTACAGCAATTCTCTACACATACCTGAGTGATGGGCACCTTGTTTTTAGGATCCATACAATGTAATGGCATTTCAAATATAAATTCAGTGCAGGATAATTTCAGTGGTGCTTGTAATACTACCAAAGGAAAGTAAATCTACTAGTAAAAGTATAAATACATATAAGCTTACAGATAATTATATACTTTTCAACATGAAAGAGTAAAAATATATATAAATATATATATATATAAAACATTCTTTATCCCTAGTTACAACAAAATTAACTTTAATACATTTCTACAATATCTGGCTTTATCACATTGAGTAAGTTCCAAAACCCTTGAGATGGAAAATACTAAATATTGATCTGAGTTAAAAAGGAACCAAAGTTGAAATGATGTCCAAATCAGACTTGCACCAATGCAGAAGTACAAACATGAAAAGAAATATAGAATGAAAACAATATGGGAAAAAAGGTAAAATATATAGAGAGCACATCATATAATATTTCCTAAGAAGCAAGAAAACTCTAGGGAGAAAATGGCTATTATATGGAATATTAGGAATGGCAGTATCAAACATTAGTAATGAGAAGTCATTACTACCTTCTGGAATATATATTTTAGCAGATTTATTTTGTAGAGCTAATTTAGATACAAAAATTGAGCAGAAGGTATAGAGATCTTCACAGCACCCTGCCCTATTCAGCATAGCCTCGTCCATTATCAACATTCTCCACCACAGTAGTAGGATGAAACTACAACGATGATCATTATAACTTAGTATCCATGGTGTATCGTAAAGATTGCTTGTGGCAGTGTGTATTCCATAGGTTTAACAAAAGTATAATGACACATAGCCATCATTATGCATCATACCAAGGACAGTCACATATATACCAAATATATGTAATTATCTCACAAAGAATTGGAATTTTTAATATATTTTCATCCTTTATATGTAGTTTGTTAGTAATGCATTTATTTGAGAAAAATTATTACATAATTTTATTGTTTCCTTTTATGTCCAATGAATTTTAGTAATTTATATTTTGATTTAGTCATTTTCAACTGCATACACAATTAATAAAGTGACTTTTTTAGATATAATGCTAAATTATAAACAGTCATTCATCTGAGTTTATATCCAAAATTATAAAGTTATTCATCTGAGTTTATTTCCATGATACTTATGAAAATTCAATCTCACAGACTCACAATTTAGACACAGAAAAGTCATATCATAATATTACTATACAATATTTCTCTTAAAAAATGAATGTTATTTTTAAATGATTTTTTAAAATATTACTTTTTCAACTTTTAACTGCTTATGTATAAATATTTGGACCATGCATATCGATTGAATGTTTCCATTACATACCAGTAGCTTTAACATCACATGGACGAATAAGTGGTGTTGTCTTTGGAGTCAAAGGAGTATTTGACAAACAACATTCAGTGTAAAGTTCTGAAGCCTTGAAGAAATTAATTTGCACTTGAAAAGTAAATTGGTATGTTGCCACCTGACGGACAAAAATATATATATATATATATTATATCTGTGACTTATTTTCACTGTAAGAAATTTGTGACACTAGTTTTATATATTTATATATTAAACTTGTATATATTTAAAATATAGAACCTCATGATTTGATATACATGTAAGTAGTGAAATGACAGTGCAATCAAGATACTTAACATCTATCACACCAATTATTTACCTTTGTGTTTGCAATATGTGTGTTGAAAACACAACCTACCCTCACAGTGATTTTCAAGCATAAATTAGAGTGTTGTTACCAAATTTACCTTACCCTGCAATCTCATTTTACGGGTATTTATACAAAGGAATTGAAATCAGGATCTCATTGCCACCTTATTCATAATATACAAAATATGGACACAATCTAAACATCCATCAATAGATGAATAAAGAAAATGTGTTATATAGTATAATAGTATTAGCATTCAGCTTGTAAAATAAAAGGACATTCTGCTATTTGCTATAACATGGCTGAACCTAGAAGACTTTACTCTAAATGAAATAAACCAGACACAGAAAGACACATAATGCATGATCTCACTTATTTGTAGACACTGAAATAGCTAAATACACAAAAGGAAAGAACAGAATAGTAGTAACCAAGGGTTGGAAGGAGGAAGATAAAGAGGAAGATGTTTGTTGCTGAAGGGGTACAAAGTTTAAATGATACAAGATGAATAAGTTCTGGAGATCTAATCAGACACCATTATTTAACAAGAGTAATTTTAAAAATCTCCAGAAATTAAAAAAAATTAAAAACGGTAATTTTAAAAAGTTCCAGAAAGATGAAATGTAAAGTACATTTTCTCATTTTCTTTTTTACAAAAGAAGGCCTGGTTTATTTTTCATGAGTCTAAAAATAATTCTTAAAAATAAAAAAGAAGAAAATGTTTTTTTTTAAATCCTATTAGTTCAAAATGGACCAGAGACCTAAATATGAAATCTAAAACTATAAATAATATAGAAGAAAACATAGGAGAAAAATGTCCGTGATCTTTGATTAATCAGAGTTCTTAAATGCAATACCAAATGAATTCTCCATAAAAGAAAAAATAGCATTAAAGTGTATTTTATCAAGATTTCAAATGTACTGTTAAAGATAATGTGAAGAAAAAGAATTAGAAGTCAAAAACACAGTATTGGCCAAAAAAAAAATCTATTTGTATCCAAGGTATATAAAGAATACTCAAATAATAATGAAAATCAAAGAACCTAATAAAAAGATAAAATATTTGAAATGACAGGTGAGAAAAGAAAATAAGCAAATTCCATTTTATCATAGAAAGAGGAGATACTTAACATTATCAGACAACAGGGAAATTCATCATCAGACAAGAGGCTTAAATAAAATTAAAGTCCCCTGTTGCTGATAAAGATATGACAGCTAATATACATTGCTGATAGAAATGCAAAATTTTAAGTCATTTTGGAAAAGTTTTCAAGTTTCTTCGAAAGTCAAGTATATATTTAATACAAACTGGAACTCCAGGTGATTACCAAAACGAAATGAAAACTCAGTCATACAAAGATCTGCATGCAAACATGAACAGTGACCCGATTCATAAATGTCAAAACCTGAAAATAACCCAAATTCACTCCAAATAGGGAATGGATAACACATTTTGGTAATTCCATACAGTTCTATACTTTTCAACAAGAAAAACTGAACAATATTCTGTTACACATAATGACATAGATGAAATTCAAATGCATTATTCCAACTGTGAAAAATCAGACTGAAAAGCCAACATGCCATATATATATATATGAACTTTAATGTTCATTATATATGAACATTAATAAAGATCCTAAGAGCTGTTAGGTTAAGAGAAAGGGGAGAGGAAAAAGGACATGGTGGTGTATTGGATGGTGGAAGGGGAAAAATTAAAAAAGAAAGGCCAAGAAAGATAACAAAAATACCTCCCCATTTTGCAAAACTAATTTATTTTGATGTGTTTATTTCCTTTTGATGCAGTTGTAACGCAGGTAGTGTTCTTGATTCTTCTTTTTGTTAGTCTTTTACTTGGTACAGAAGCACAAGAGATTTTTTTTTTTTATGTCACTTCTATAGCTTGCCACTGAGAAGTACATTTCTGGTGTTTATGAACTACCCAGTCTGTGATATTTTATTATAGCAGACTGAGCAGACAAAGACACTGACCACACCCTGCCAATTCTATCTCCAGCCATATAATCTTTTGTGAATAGTCTGTTCTCATAATGGAATTATAGAAGCATAAAAATACTCTCACACATTTTATTTTCAGGGATGTTTCATTTATTTTGACAAATCAGTACAAGCAACACATTCCCATGACAATCTATTTCTGTAGTGATACCAGCACACAGATGTCAAGGAGTAAATTGAATAAAGATATATTTCATGTACAACTACTACTTGCTTTCATATTTCAGTCTTTCAAAAATGAACAAAAAAAATCTTTGCTTGATATATTTTACTGCAATTTCTCATCATTTAATCATCAACAACTAGCTATATTTTGTCTCATTTTGAGTTTTCCTCTTCTGGTTTATCTGTTTTTTTTTTTTCCCCCTTATTTTGTGTTAACATGCATGAAAACCTTTGATTATGTTATAACAACATTGAAGCTATTTTAGCTATTTCATCTTTAAGTTTTTTCCCCCCATATAATGTGGACTCATTTTCACATCAAATAATATGTAGAAGTATGTGTCCCAAATGGTCATCATCATCTGACTGTGATGGATGGAGGTTTCCCAATTGAAGAAAATGGGAGCAATGGAATAGGAGATAAATGGAAACATGAAGACAAAGAATGAGGCCAGATTTCTAGATGGGTGTCCATAAGTATACCGAAATCATTGAGAAAACGAGAGGAAGAGGTTGTGAAGTATACAATGTGTCTTGCTGGTGCCAATGTCCAGAGATTACTAATTTGACAAGAGGAAAGTGATAAATTCACATTATAGAAGGTTCAAAGAAATAGGCATTTTTAACAGATAAGAAGCATCTAGGAAAAAAATCAGCCCAGGGAACAAGGCTTCCAGAAAGCACCTCCAAAGCAACACCCAGATTCACGGGGAAGGCTACATAAGAAGCAGTATCCTACAGATAGCTGTGCTGATAATAGGAAGAAACCACTGAGGGAACAGAAGTCCTAAAAGAACAAAATGATGATTGACATAAGTTTAGGGATCCTAGAAGGAAGAGGAAAAGCATTAGGGTAGGCAACATAAAACTGCCATGAATAACAATGTTGACAGAGGGTTTCACTTCAGGGGATTCTAAGGTAAAGCATGACCATGATGGATTAAAAATCCTGGCTGTCATGGAGTTCTGCATCTTAACTAACACTGAGTCAAGTGTTGGATGCCAAAGTCAGAGGAGTGGTGGGAGAGGTTTACCACACACAATGACTGTGTTTTCATTTTAAATTGTCTGCTGATGAAGATGATGTTGGAAAATATATCAAGATAACTCAATATACTGGCCACATGCCTTACATTTTTTATATATTTTAAGCATTTCTCCCTCTTACAAAGTATGTTTTGTAAAAGACTGTGTGCTAAAGGGGCACACCTGAAGACAATCCTGCCTTCTCCCGGTCCCCTATATCCATGGAAGGTCACCCTGGACTTGCCTCCTCTTAGCACACATTTTCAGAGATAATCTACATAAAATGAACTATACTCAGGGTAGCCCTGTAATTACTGCAAATGCAAAACTAAGAAATCCCATGATTTCTTCACCCACATAAACTTCTGCCCTCAACAAAACTGTAAGATATAAGGTATCTTTACAGAGAAACTCAGGGAAGCACAGAGAAAAATGATATTTACTGTGACATCACTAAGCTACCTAATGGAGGAGGAAAATGTCAACAGTTCTGCGACATGTCATCTGAGTACTTTTTCAGATGTTGTTACGCAAACAGAAGAATGGGTCTGTCACAGAAAGATACTCTGCTGAAGGAACAATCTGTGGGTAGACAAAAATGCTTAAGAATAGAAAAGGGGCAGGTACAATTCACATGTGTTATTAATCCTTCAAGGATTTTTCTTAGCTTCCTGTAACAAATCCAAGATAACTGTGTTTCCCCAAAGGTTATATGTCCTGCAGGAGCACACAAAGGTTAGTGGAACCAAGAAAAAAGCGAACAAATTTCTCTTATGGGCAAGAGCCTTAGGGCAAATAGAAAACAAAAGACATGAGACATGCAGAACAGCTGAGCTACTACAGTTACCAGCCTGAGCTACAGGGAAGAACTTGGGCCACAGCAACAGAACAAGTGAAAAATGAAAATGGAGAAAGATCTATACCAGCACTGTCAGACACACCCTCTGTGATGATGGAAATGTCCTGCACTAGCCAATCAATAGCCACATGCACATACTGAAAACATAAAATGAGGTTATTTTAACTAAGAAAATAGAAAAATTAAATGTGTTTAATATTAATTAATAGGGTTTTTTTTAATATTATTGATTGATTGGTTGGTTGATACATACAAGAACTGGGGTACAGGCCACAGGTGGAAGAGGGTGAGAGGATTCACCAGAGACAGTGGGGAACAGAACAGGTGGATCTATTGAAATACACTGTGGAGGGGAGAGAGGGTGAGACAGGAGAGGTCTGTTGTGCCTTGTTTCTTAGCTCCCTAACCGGGGATCGACCTCAGACCTCAGCAGCAATAGCATCAGAGCCCTGAGACTTAGCCCCTGTACCACCAGGGTGGCCTTTAATTAATATAGGTGTTAGCATCTGTGTATGGCTAATGGCTACCACATAAAGAAGCATAACTCTGTATCATGGCCCTGAAAACATACAAATGTTTTCACAAGATAAGAAGGGACTTAAATAATTACAAACCAGTCCAGTCAAGGATGCCAAACAATTGTAATTGTGCACCAGCACTTTTGACTGTATCCAAACTTGTGCAGTATAGAAAAGGAAGAGTCCAACTAGAAATTAAGTCTTGTATTTTCTTGTTGTTGATTTCACATTTTCTACTACGTAGTTAAATGAAGAAATCACATTGCCTATTTAATATACTCACAGAGAAACACAAAGCAGACAACTCACAGCTCGCTGTAAATATAGTGAAGGGCATATGAAATCACTGGAAACCAAACAATCAATCAGCCTCACTGGCACAAATTTATGAAACAAAATCTCACAGGGTGCTCATGATCTGCAGGGTTTTTATGTTCTTCTCAATGTTGGACTGAATTACACTCCAACACACTAAGTAAATCTTTCTTTAAAACATCCAGTAAATGTAGAATGAGCTAAAATATTAAGTACTGTGTAGCATTAAAGAGAACTAGAAATGATTTTCTAAAAATTTTCAACAACTTTTAGAATCCTAGAAGAACCACAATCTAGACAGTAAGAAACAGATGTACAATCAGATGACATCAAACTAAAAGAAACTAGCACAGTGAAAGAAATGTCCCCCCCAAAGGAAAATACATCCTAACAGAATGGAAGAAAATATTTGCACAACTTAATCCAGTAAGAGGCTAATATACATTTGCAAACACCTATATGTAAAAAAAAAAAAAGAAAGAAAGAAAAAAAGAATCCAATTGGAACATGGGCAGAAGAACTAAGCAGACACTTCTCTAAAGAAGACACAAAGATGGCTAACAAAATGGATTAGTGAAGAGTACTGAGCATCCAATGCCCTTTTATATTGCATCGCTAGTTATGTTCACTTAGTTCATTCATTTCTACACCTACTGAGTCTGAGTCATCATGCTGGGATATAAAAAATGGTCTTACCAGAAGAGGTATTTGGTTTGATTTTGTACTTTCTGTTGTTGTTTTTAAATCACTAAACATCAAAGGAGGCTATATAAAAGTAATCAGTGTTATAGCTCCCCCTCTTAAATCTTGAAAGCACATCTCTGGCAATTTCAATTTCAAGCACTGATTTCAAAAGCATTAGGCATACCCCACTCACATGTAAGAACAAGCACAATCTGGCTCAAATGTAAGTGACTTTGGAGTTAGCCCACACTTTTCTCTCCTTCATCACATGTCACATCTTGAATTTCCAAGAGAGAGTAACTGAGACAAGAACACAGGTATGCCCTGTTCACCTCTTGAGACACTGTGAGCATGAATAGACACCTCTAGCATTCACTCTACTGACTTAAAGAGTGCTCACAAGCTAGAATAAGAACCACCACTCTAAGGTGATATTTGATAGCTTCCCAGTTAGGATCATCTGTAATTCCACCACTCATCTGTAATATGAATAAAAAAATAGAAGGCTGAACTTACTTCTTCAGGAGAAAATGCTATGCCACATTCCATAGATGCATTTTCCTCTAACTCAAAAAAATATATGTCAGGAAATTCAGGGTCTGAGTATTGCACTGTAAAGACAAAAAAAAGAAAAACAGAAAAAAGTCAGATACAGAACAATAATATTTAAATGTTAAATGTGGAAAGGAAACTTTGAGAAACCTAATTGACATGTTTATAGCAATCAACAAGCAATTAGTAAAATATCTGTAGGGATGTATAAAGATGCTGGATTAAAAAATAACCCTTAATGCCAGTATTACTGCAACAAAAGTAATATGAAAATGCAATTAAAATATTTAATACTGGCCCTTTACTTATAGCATTTCTTTAACATTATATTTTAAAGCAATTTAAAACTATTTTTACTTTTATAATAACATCATTATAGCATAAAATATAAACCTGATTTGTCTTTAAAATCCATTGAAAAACATGGAAATTCTTCTAGATTAAATTCCACTCTGGCACGAGTTATACCTTTGTTTTTTACTAAAAACGGGATAACCTCGGTGGTGCCTACATAGGTACCCGTGAAGTTAAAGACATCCTAAAATTAAAAAAAAAAAAAAAAAGAATTAGAAAGTGCAGTAATAGTTTATGAAAATAACATAAGCTAAATGTTCTATACCATATTTATCAAGGCAATATTAACTGAAATATTTTGTAAAAATTAGCCAGTCCCCCCCCCTTATCAAATTCCATTGCAATCAGTTACCCATTGCACTTACCAAACCCCATTATTCTTTACTTCTTAGTCTTAGTGTAATAACATGAAGTTAATAACACATCATTTAGCATTTCATTTCTAGTTTCTGGCTTTATTCAATTCTCCATGCCACAACTAAGGCACAATTTAACTAGATAAAAATCTTATCTTCTCCCATCCCTTCCTCAAAACTGATGGTTCTCCTCTATCTACAGGATGAAGTTGAAGGTTGTTAACAGGTGCATAATATTCACCATGACCTTCCCTTGCCTCATCTCATTCCACGCTCACCCTATCATAGTGCTTCACATTTCAGCAAGCTGTAGGACTTGTCATTGTCAACCACCACCTGACATTTCACCCTTCTGTGTTTATCAAGGTGTCCCATGTGTCAAGAAGGACCCTCTCTAACTTATAACTGTCTGATAAATAATGTGTGTATTTAACACCCACTTGCATAAACCACAGTTAACAGCACTGTGTTCAAAACTACTTGCATTCCTTCTGTGACTTACATTACAGTATCACGATGTTCATTTATTTGTTTAAACACTTGTTTCTCTTAGAAAACCTTAAGACTGGTTCATATTTGCTTTCCTAGAACCTATTTGACACCTTTATCTTTATCTTACATACCAGTATTTGTTTATTGCACAAAACTACTGAATTCTATCTTCTGGAGGAGTAACCCTGTCTCTGTATCTCCATCCTCTAGCTCCTTTGTAAAACAATTACATATAACATTAAAGGAGAAATAACTGGTATTTTAATGCTGAAAAAAACACTACATTGAGATCAATTGGTCACTATTTATTTCACTTAAAATAGCAACCCATTTCTACTGGTGAAGTTTGTAAAATCCGAAATGGGTAATGAAATTTTGATGCTTTCTTTATGTAATATAAAACCATTCCTGTTATCCAATGCTAGCTTGCCCATATGCTCTTTTGGATAAAATTTCCTAATTACTATTAAGACACATAATCAATGCTATATAATTATTAAATGTATTGCTGACTGGTGATGCTAAAGTATTATTTTTTAAAGGCAACTAGACAGCTATGTTTAACACTCAACATAATTAGGGAATACTGATAAATATATGTTAAAGTCAAGTTCTATAAATGACTCAACAGTGCCCCAATATGTAAAGCATGCCAAAAATGTTATGAGGATGAGGAAATAAAATAATCAAAGTTCAATACCTAAAACTGTTCAAATAAGGACACCACAGCAATGGGAAAAAATAATTCTAGATACTGTATGTTTTAATTGTCAACAATCACCATAGTCCTAGACAAGCTAGTTTAGTATCTGTCATTCTATCCAGACTCACCATGCCTTGAACGCCAGATAAAATAAAGCCAGATCCTAAAACTGTGGTTATGCCACTTAAGTGCAGACGAGAAGGCAGCCTCATCGGAGGCGAAAAGCTGCCTCATCCATTTCCTCTCAGTTTAGGACAACCCCAGAGTGATGCTAGGTGAGGTAGTACTAGTAGGCAAGGAAAACTAAAGTGAAGATAATGTGACAAATGCAAGGATGGAGAGGTTAAGGTGTTGAAAACAGCTGATACATATGACATGGAGAGGCAAAGAGATCTGCTTTGAAGAATCTGAGTATCTTTGGGCAATTCCAGAATGCCAGAAAAATAAATAATAAAAAAAACCTGTACACACAATCAATTGTAGAACAAAATTTTATCAAAGTAAAGCACAATGTGTTCAAAAATTAAGTATGACTATAGTTCATAAAATGCAAATCAAGATTATAGGGAGATATTATTTTATATTTAAAATGGGAAACATTAAGTCTTACAATTTATGGAGCAATGGAAACTTGAGAAGAAAATCTGAACAGTATCTTGTGAAGTCAAACACGTACATATCCCATGCTTAAACAGCTCCACTCCTACAGAAACTCTGACATATGTCCCTCAGAAAATATGTATCTATTAATGTTCACAGCTACAGTGTCTTTAGTAACAAAAAACAATAATTGGATGAACAAAGAAATGTGTCTTTAAGCTAAAAGTACATCTACACAGTGGACTATTAAGCAGCAATGATAATCAAGACACAGCTACACACAACTTAGAAGAACTTTGGAAACATAATATCCAATTATGACAATCACCAAAGACTACAAATAGTAAATCTTCATGCTAAAATTAAAAATGAACAAACTAAAATTTAAAAAAATGATTAAGAAATTCACATCTATGTGGTAACCCAATTCAAAATAACAAAGGGATAATATTCACAAAATTCAGGAGGGGAAGGATCATGATGGAGCCTACTGATGATACTGATATTGGTAATGTAATGATACTTAAATTTAGTGGTAAGTTTTTAGACCTTCCTTTAATATTCTACATCATTATATATATATTCTACATATTATATTCTGGATGTCAAATTACTATAATAAAATATTTGAACATAAATGAGCTGACTAATAAACATAATAAAATAACCAAACTCATAATTAACACAAATATGTAATATACTCACCGGTTTGATTGTAACATCAGCAATCTCAACAGATCCACCAATCCTAAGGTCAACGACATTTCCACGGCGAACAGCAATCTTATTTAGGAGAAATATAAAACTTTGTGGAAACCACATTAAAATATACTTGTGTATTGCTAATGTAATACCTGACATTTATGTTAACATTTTGTAATTTAAATAATCTTAAACGTAAATGTCACAAGATTCATTGCAGCAGTTGCCGTAATTCTTGTTATGCAGCACTGATATTCCTAAGAGGAAAGAATGATTCTTTAAAATTCTTGATTCTTTAAAATTCCACCATAAATGGGACCAGCTGACAGCTTGTGAATTTGACCAGAGTCCTATCCATTTGGCTAAACATCATTACCACTCTGTGTAGGCCTTTTGTATTTACTCAATTTCAATTGATTATGCAGAATTAAAACAAACAGAAAACTGAGTGAAAACATAACCCTTCCCATGGAAGATACAATGGGCATAACAACAATGAGCTAAATAACTGCTGAGTCTATGGGGCCATGTATAGTGCTAAATATATTATTTCCTTTTTTAATCCACAGTATTCTGTGAAGTCACCACTGTTAATACCCTAATTTCTTAATGAGGAAAATTGCAGCATAGAGATGCCAAGTATTTTGTCTTCTGTTTGAAATCCCAAAACTTGACAATAGCAATGGCTATACTTAGACCAAACACTGACTTAACATTCAACTGCTTCCAAGAAAATTAAATAGCAACATAAGAATTTAGCTATTTAATTGCTACAAAATAAAAGCTATATATTATCTGAACATATTATTGTCTAATAAAAGTTTCAAAGGCACAATAACAACATTCCATGAAAGCCCAAATCTGCAAAATAACTGGAAGCCATAAATGTCTATTACAACAAAGGGATATGAGAGTATTTCACCTTTTCCCACTGAATCAGTAACATCGTTTATAGGCAAATAAATAACAAAATACCAGAATTTCAGTTGAAGAAAGTGATGTGCCATTTACATATTCTTATTAGCCAAACTACTGCCGTGATAGTACTATATGACTTCCACATCTTATTTAAAGAATATGTAGTACATAAACAAAATGATACACTAAAATCATAAAAAGCAAAATTTAACGACTTGGAAGAAATTATAAATCAACATCAATGAACTCCATATACCACAACTCCACACAGCTATCACTTTATTCATATCCCCATCATTCATCATTCACTAAGGCAGTCCACGGTACTTCTGACCTTTTATTTCTAGAGACAGAAACTATACTCTGGGCCATATCATCTCAATATCACCTCTGATACCATACATTCACCACTCCCTCTCTCACAACTCTCTCTCCTCCCTGCTCTCTCTCTCTTTCTCTCATTTTCAGAGACATTAATTTCTGGATATCACATCACAGAGATATCCAAGTCTATGATGTGTAATGTTCTTCTGGTCAACCTCAATTCACCTTTGTCCACTGGCTTCTTCAACTTTTCCCAAATTTAATTATTATAATTTCTCAAGTACCAATATATTATTTTCATGTGTACTTATCTTGGTTTTCACAGAATAACAGAAAAATTCTCTATCATCTGCAAGGTTAATGTATGGTCCTCAGACTAGTATGTGCATGCCATGACTTCTTTAGTGGACATCTCCCTATGGAGAGCCAAAAGGTGATTCAAACTCATGATATGCCTCTGAAGTCTCTTTCTCATGGAATGTAGCTACAGTCTTACTCTTAACTCCTTTTATTGATATGTGATCCCTTTATAACCACTAAGTCATAAATATTCACCTCCTAATTTTGAATGGAATGTATCCTACTTCCTGACAGAGAACACCATCCTCTTACTTGGAGAGTTACACATATTGCACTCCATCTTATTGGTCTCAGTTTTACTGTTCAATAACCAAACTGGATCTCTGAAAATTGTGAATCTGATTGTGAAATCCCTAGGCTTAAAAAATTCCAGCTTTATGGATTATGGTGATGATGCACAGGTGAACTGGTTGTGGGAAGCCCAAGGGGATTACAACTGAGATGGAAAAAAGCACAAAATGATGTAAAAATAAATTATTATATTAAAAATATTCCATCTCTAAAAGGCACAAAATGATGTAAAAATAAACTACTATATTATTTTTTAAAAATCCCAGCTCTTAAGATGAAGTTTGGACTTGCTAACATTGTTTATAAGGACTTATATGACCTGAGACCTAGATCTCTAAACAAATCCCCACTATCACCCATGTAATCTATAATCGAGCCAGGCTAAATGTTTGTCATCCATGCAGTCTATGACCTAAGCATGCTAAACTTAAGTTTTTCTTATCTGTCTTACAACTATTGCTCTCCCCCATGCTTAAAAATGGATCATTTGTGCTTCCTTAAATACTCTACTGCACTCCTCCTCCACCCCATTACCAGCCTTTTCAAACGGCTGATTCTTAACTTAAGGTTTCTTTTAGAGGTTTCTTCCCCTAGGAAGCCTTCTTTGATACTTTAAGCCTGGAGCGATGACGCCCTGTGTCCTCCCTTCATCTACTGAATTTCTCCATCACAGTATTCATTACATTATATTTTAATTTTCAGACCATATACCTCAATTTATAATTAATAGATCCACCATATGAGCCAGGAAATCCACTCCTAGTTACCCACCTAAATAATGTAAAAACACTAATGTGAAGTGATATATAATCTCCTGTGTTCACTGTAGTACTATCTACAATAGCCAAGTTATGGAAACAACCCAAGCACCGAAGTACAGATGAGTGCATCAAGAAAATGTAGCATATAAACACAAAGGAATACTTCTCAGCTATCAAAAAAAAAAAAGATGAATTCTTGCTACTGGTGGCAATATGCATGGAATTGGTGGTGAATCTGTAATGAAATAACTCAGAAGAAAGACATATACTTGATTATTTCACTCATATATGGACACAGAGAAACAAAACAAAGGAACTGACAATACTCAGGAGGAAAAAACAAGGATTTGACTGCAGAATTGAAGCTACTGGAGGTGGAGGAAAAATGGGTGTGGGAACAAAGGAGACAGGGGACCATATAATCTAGGGTAAAGTACTGAGTATTATAGTGGTGTGTGTGGAGTGGTGACATACATCTTAGAAGATGTGACCCTATTCTCCTAAATCATATACAGTGCTGTAAAGCAACGCTAAAAGTATTTCAGTCCTTGAGTTATAGTCAAATTTTATTACAGATGGGACATATGTTTTATTCTGCTTAACAAACACTTAAAAAATCCTAAAATCATGATAATATCTTTTACTTATATAATTCCTAGACCATGAAATGATAAAACATTTTATATGTTTGATAATATACAGATGTTAAAATCATTTAGAATCTGTCTATATCCTTAGGCATTCAATCTTTTTAAAGTTATAATTCAAAAATTGATCATTTTTCCCTATGGTATATAATGAAGTAAGTTAAACTAACTGACATCATGAAAAGAGCCCTTCTTTGGCTCTGTGACTAGTAAGGACTTTTTAAAATCAGAGATTCCAAACTTCATTCCAGATCACACGAAACATGTCTCATATTGATGAAAGGTATCCATTTCAATTTAGTTCCATGACCAACTTTCACCAAAACTATTTTTCTCAAATCCTCCTGTCAAGTTCTGCTAATCATTTCTACAACAAATGACACAGGTAAGGTTGTATTTACTGACCTCTAAAATCTGCACATCATTAACTAGAAAAATTATAGAAATTTAAAAAACCTACTCCTTAGTATCATGAAATTACAACCAATTCCCATTTAAAGAAATCATTAAGTAACATTTTATAAGAATAAACATGTATACAGTTTATAGCATTATATCTACTATTATAAATATAGTAAACAAACAAATCCACATATATTTCAGGAACACATATATATAAACATACCTTTGCTCTTGTATCGAATTTTTCTGCCACGGTGGGTGTACAGGAAATATTAAGAACAGTTAATCCCCCCCATGGAATAATTCCTTCTGATGGAACAATATTAATAGTAGGCAGAAGACTCTGATCACAAACCTATAATTAAAAATTTGTAAAAATGTTTCATTTTCTTTTTAAGTTAGTGCTCCAAAATTTTCCTAGGAAAGTTTTTAAACTACTATCTAGAGAAAAGACTCCCAGTGACAGGTCATGAAGACATTCTGTAATAGATTTTCAAACACCAGACTCAAAATACTTTGAACTTTAGCAAGGATTTGCACCACTAACCCAGAGAATAGAAATTTCAGTGCCATCTTTCAATTCAAACAGGATGATAAAATTTATTATCTGAAGTATTTTCAAGACTTTTCAAGGATGAGATATACCTGTTCGAAAAAAATGCCAAAACTCTAGGTACTCTTTATTATTTCCTGGATAGCCTAAAGCCCAAGACATCATTTCAACTTTCCAAAGAGATGGAAGTAATTTACCGATGGACCCATGATGTGGTCTGTCAAGAGGCCAACTTAGGCCTTTCTATCATGCTTTAAGACACACTAATTTAAAGGGAACTTTGTTAAAATAGCTTTGGGGATAAAGGAAAAAAACAGACTAATTCTGAAGCAACAGAGAAATCTCATATGAAATATGTAAATATTAGCATTAGTCAATTGATAAAACCTAAAGTATCAATACTCTAGAATTCCTGGCAAAAAGATCAAATTATAGCATATGATTAAAAAAAAATGTCCCAGGATTCTCAGTTACCTTGAAATAAGCATGGTTTTGTCCTACATTATGAAGAACAGCTTTCCTCCAACTTGTTAAACCTTGAGGAATATTATTGAAAAGTATCCTTGGCTCCAAAAATGTGACTTTGGTGTGACCAACCTAATAAGAAGAGGAGGAAAGTGAAAATGAAATTGAAACAACAGTAGCTATTTTTTTTCCTTTACCAGATAACTCAGACTTCTTCAGTTTCAATGCAATTTCTAAAATATGAAGCTTTATCAGCTTTTATTATATACTTAAGATAAACGAAAATAGAATGGAATAATTTAAATGAATTCCTAAACGGAGGAAGGCAGGTTAAGTAAGATCACGCTATGGAGGAAGTGAATCTGACTGAGGTTCACTTAGATCAGTCTCTTGAAAGAGTTCTTAGATATCATGTACCCAACTGTGTACAGAATATGCTTTGCAAAAGGAAGGAGTTCAAGGGTTCCCTAAATATGACAGATAATGTGTCAAATGAGATTATCCAGACATATTTCTATTATAGGTACTTAATATACAGATAACATACAATTTGCCTAATCTGAGAATAGGAGGTAGTTCATTGTGATTGACAGTTATTACTTAGACACAAGCCTCCCTAACCTTATCCCACATAAATGACTTCACAGAACTAATGCAGCATAGAATATTTTTGTAAATGCTGACATTTTCCACCTCTCCCATTTTACAGGAAAATAGCACATTATTTTCAATTCCATATTCTGTGCTCTTTAAATCAAACATTATTTCTTACAGTTTTAGGAGTTTTAAGTACATTCTTATCATTATTTGAATAACATAATTTGGGTAACTGGAGCAACAAATATTCCAACAAAGCTAATAGAAGATACCCAAGTAAATCCTTTATAAATTAATGACAACCCTTCAATAAATATTTTATTTAATCACTACATGTTCCTCCATCTTTACTTTTTAAAGAGTAACTTTTCACAATTTGTCTAAATTTCAGCATTTTAAAATTTATCAAAAGTGATGTAATTCATTATACTTTTATCTGAGTTTAATCATAACTAATCCTAGTATAGTGAAAGCAAATCTCATCAGAAGGTAATGACAAAGATTTTGGGGCAGACAGTTTAGATTTAAATTCCTACTGGGGCAGGAACTAAATTTGTCAATTTGTATTTACTAACCTCTCTAGTATTCCACTTCCTCACCATCAACTGAGATACTAGTACTTATTTTTTATAGTTATTGCAAAGATTAAACAACATCATATATATGAATAGCAACCAGAATCATGCCTGACACATAGCAAAAAAGACACCTATTGCTTAATTTATTTAATTCTAAATCCAAATTACTAAATTGCTCACCTTTACCTGTTAGGAAAAAAAAATACACACAGGATCACTATTTCTCCTTAGTAAACTTGTCAAAAACAGTGATTTAATAACAACGAAAGAACTGTGTATATATGTTCACCAGAGACAGTTATAAAAATGCTCCCAGAGTACTATGATAGAGGCTAAAAGTTTGAAGCAATTCAAATTTCTAACAGTTGTGTAATGAAAAAATAATGGCACAGTCATTTAATGGACTACTACTCAGAAACAAGAATGAATACTCCACCAAAAGTGCGTCACCACAGATGAATATCTAATGATGAAGGAAAGAAGCCAAACATAAAGAGAACATAATGAATGGGCCCTCCCTGGTGACTGAGTGCTACTTAACGTTTTAATATGGGCACCAGTCTGTACGTATGCATCCATAGAAAATTCAGAAAGAACAGTAAGTAATTGAAACATAGTGAAAGCAGTATGAACTGGCTACTTCAAGCTTGGGGGCGAAGAAAGGCCTTACTGATTTCTGACTGCCGCTTGCGAGCACTGAAGTGGATGAATCTCTTGTCTCTCAAAGCTATAGTTGACGTGTCATAGTTGAAATATGTAAGCGTATGCTCATGGGCTGCAGACACAAGTGGGATACAGCGAAAGAGTATTTGGTTTGTATTAAGTTGCTAAGAACAGAGGGAGAGAAATTTGGAACACAAGTAAAGTGGATTCTTGGTGATGTGAGGAATGAAATGGCCTTCTGGGCCAGAAAGTTAAAATTATGTATTGCTGCTTTTACTCTACTCACATTTTTTTTTAAGATTTATTTATTTATTCATACAGAACTGGGGTACAAGCCAGAGATGCAGAGGGTGAGAGGATTCACCAGAGACAGAGTGGGGAGCAGAACAGGCAGACTGACGAAGTACACTGCTGAGGGGAGCAGCGGGCGGGTCAGGAGAGGTCTGCCGCCCCATGTGGTCACCTCCAGGGCAGGCAGGGATGGAACTCATGCGGAAATGGCTTTAGCTTTTTAGTGCTGTGCTTTAACCCGCTGTGCCACCAGGGAGGGCCTCTACTCACATTTTTTTAAAGCTACTTCTATAAAAACTTGAATTTTGCTGCATGTCTTTCTAGGTAAATTATAGGCTCCATTTCATAATGAATTAGTAATTACTGCTAGAATACTAACAAAGTAATGCAGTGGTACAAGAACCTGATTTTCTCTACTGATGAAATAACTACAAGTGGTTCCCACAGAATAGTTATATATTTTTATTACATATAGAACTTTAATAAAAATCCAGTAGTGCTGACACAAAAGTCCTGGATTCTGAGTCATTCTGGGTAACACACATTATTTTTTTCATGAAATCTTCACTTACAGTAGAGAAGCAACCATAAGAACCTTCTTGCTAGGATGATTTAATTAGCAAAATATTGTATGTGAACCTCGTGTATACTATCTACGAATATGTATCCCCATCCTGTTTAGAACCCTCAAAATAAAAAAAAACATATTCAAAGGAAATCATTACATGTGCAACACATTTTAGTCTCATCATATTGCCTTCAGCAACATGAAGAATAAATTCTCCTCTCTCTGGAGAACTGAAACTTGGTTGCCATGTTACTTCACATTCCAGTGAGGAGTATGGGTCCACAGCACCTACAGAAGATTGAGAAAGAGTGAGGTAATTACCAATTTGAATTTTATAATTTCATATATACTCATATACATGTGTGTGTTTAATATTCAAAATAAGATATTTAATGATATATAATAAATTGTTAAAATTAAAATATAGAAAATGTTAAATGAGACTATCAAATAAGAATGGATCTACAGAATTTGATTAAAATCTCAAATGCATACCTTATTTAAATAAGCAAATCAAGATAACTGACAAAATATGCCAACAGTTGGCCAAAAAAAAAAAAAGTTTCAGTAAAGCAAATATTCTAGCATTCAAAATGGCCTTACAGATTGGCCTTTCAAAACCATTTGTGATCCCTGACCAAATATTCCCTCCATATTTTTCAAGACTTATCAAGAACTCACTCAGTTTTCAGAGGGAGGAATTACTATTCAAAAGATAGTTAAATAAAATTCCCATTCCTGGAGATGCAGCTTCTGTGTAGCTATTAATAATTAACACATTTCTATTAATTCAAATGTATTAAGAACCCAAGTGGTAAGAGTTATTTATCTGTTTCAATTCACCCTCTCCTTTCACATAAGAAAATGGTACTGAATACGAAGAATGACTGGACATTCTTCCCTCAGAAAGAGGGATCACCTGAAGCTCAAAAGCACAGGATACACAGAAAAGAGGCGAGTGGCTCTCACAGAGTTTGCCTTTGTCCATACTGACTACCATGTGATGGTATTTTCCTTAACCTTAATAAAAGAGTGTGCCTACCTATTTTTGCAGTGACTGCATAGCAACACAACAATACATGCACATAGATTAACATATTGTGTGATGCCCAGAAAACACCCTATGTGAGATAGTAGTAATACTCTTGAAATGAAGAGGAGCCCAATAATTCTGAGAGAAATTGGTTATGGAAGAATTCAACAGCCCAGGAGAGGGTCATTAGGATTAGACCTTTCTGTAAATAAAAAAAAAAAATTATACTACATTAGGTAAATAGCAATTTATTTACTATATATAATCAGAAAGAAGTCCATGGATATGTATTCCAAGGTTGCCTTAAAAGTGTGATAATGTCTTTAGGGAACAATAATTCATCTAGCTTTCTGCACTATCATTTCTTATGATGTGGCCTTCCTTAGTTTAGAAAGGTATCACAGCATGGCAGCTCTTAAAAGAACATGAAATCTAGAGTCAGACACCCTGGTTGAAATTTAAGTTTTACTGCTTAAGAGCTCAGACTTTGGACAATTTACTTAACCTATCTAAAGGTTCCCTAATACATAAAATGGGGGTAACAGTTACATCGAACTCAGTGAATCGTTACAGGACTTAAATAAACTTAAGTATTTCAAACAATGCCTAGAACATTCAAGGGGAATGGAACTTAAGGCAATTTTGGTGCCTGAGATCCCTCATTTAGCAAGAAAAGTTGGGAAGAGATTTCCAGATAAGAACACTGCTCCCCCAAAGAAGGTTCAGCTAGGAAAGGGGATGAATATTGTCAGCTGTGTGGATGGCATAACACGTACACAGTGGGAACAAAAAAGTGGGGTTTCTAAATCAAAGAGAATAGAGGAAATATAAAAAGTATGTGCCATTTGGGTTGTGATGGAAGGATGAGAATTCTGTAGGACAAAGCCGGAGGAAAGTTTAAAAGTTACAGTGCAGTGGTGGAAGACAGTAGTGCATGGAGAAGACAGTGATGGAAAGTAACACTGACGAAGAACAGTCCAATGCTATATAGACACACACACACAGGTAAGGGCCAGACTGAGGTGAGTTCTTTCCCCTCAACCATCATGGTTATTTCTTTTTCTTCAGGTATATTATACATATCAGGGACAGGAGAAATAAATTGGATGCCTGGATTAAACATAGCTAGGATTGCTGGCGTAGATAGCTACAAATGGCCAATGAGTGAGGCAAGTGAGAAAAACAGTGAGAGCAAACTGACTACAGACAGGCTTCAAGATTGACTGGCCTCAGGGTTTCAGAGTAAGGGTAAGACAAGGAGGTTGAAAACAAAGCAAGCAGAAACTTGAACAACTCCTAATGAAAAAGTCAAATTAGAAGCCAATTCTCTCTTAGAAAACATCAATCCACTCTTACATTCTCCCCTTGCAATATCCAGTATCCAAGCACGAATCCAAAATATATCACGCCTCAGGGAGGAACAACATAAAATTTAATTTAGAACCAGGCATTTTGCTCTACAAAAACAGAGACATGATTAAATTTATTATCCAGGATGTAAAATCAATATAGCAAAAGGGATATAAGAAAAATAACTTGATAAAAAGTCATTTTCTATTTACACAAAGAGGCAAAAGCAAACTGAGTAATTATTATATGAATATTCTGAGCATCAAAAGGAAAATAACATAAGAAAAAAATCTATGCATATAAATTATGCATACTTTCTTCAATGCTATGTGAAATAAATTCGGATATGGTATCATTTGTGCTCAAAAAAAAAATCAAAAGTACTTAAAGGCTAATGGTTTATTTATCTCTTGCCATCATGAAGTCCATTACATAGAAACACTATCTGGAATTTAATATCTTTGTTTTGTGCTTTGATTGAAAAAAAAAAAAAAGAGAAAACCCACAAAACAAAATACTAAAATGTTCCCTGTAAAAATAAGATTTCTACATATGCTGAGAAAGATAACTGGTGTTCCAGGTTGTAATACTTTGATTCCACTTCTCATTCCATAAATAGGCATCATTAATGCATTTCCAGAGCAGTCACAAGAGGGAAGCCCAGCCCATTCAGCCATGGCTAGGATGGAGAAATACAGAGTGTTCATGTAAGGTGATTTCAGACATCCCTAGTGCCAATCATGAACCTGATCAGAACCCACAGGTGGAATGCAGATAATAGAACTACCACTTTTTGTTATCTGTTAAAAATAACTGGAGGTTTGTCTATAATCTCTGAAATGTGAAGGAATATTTTCTCTTTATTATCTGATTAATCAAGCATCTTTTCTCTAGGTTGGGGCAAGAACCTAATTAATCACAACCAAAAAAAAAAAAAAAAAAGAAAAAGAAAAAACACAGCCTGGTCAAATGAATCTGCTAAATATTGAGAGAAGCATACCTTTCATGTGGAATTACAATCTGGAATTGTGCTAAATCAATAGAGGTTAATGAAAAGATTAAATATGGCTACCTCAATGCCAGTGAAAGCATAAGCTTACTCTTCTACTTATTAATTTTGTTAACATCTCTACCTATATACCCCCACTAAAGTGAATTTAAATTCGTATCTATTGGAAATGACTGACACAATAAAACACCCTAAGGCAATGTTTCTACAAGCCAGCACTCCTCTGTAAAATGAAATACAGCCTGACTAAATTCCAAAAGATGGACATTCCTAAATTGAGATGAAGGGAAAGCAAGGGAGGATGGAATGGAAGGAGGGCGAGAAGGAAAGAGAGGAAGAAAGAGGGAGAGAAAGGAATTGATACTAGGAAAGAGTAGCAAGATACATGGTAGGCTGATATCACTCTTAAGAAGATCAAGAGGAAAAAAGACTAAACATTCAGAATTCTCAAATTTTCATAATCAAAAGGCCATGCATTGCCACCTTCCTTCCAGTCATTATAAAAGGAGTTTTTCATACATTTAATCTTTATGAGCTTGTCTAGTTTACAGATAAGGATACTAGTATGTAGGGTACTTTTCTCAAGATTGTAAAGCTAGCGAGAAGCTAGGTCTAGTTTGAAATCAAGTTTAACTCAAGTTTGTTTTACTTTCCATGCACACAGATGTGAACTTCAGCTGGTTATCAAGCAGATACAAAGACCCAGATCTATCCATCTAGCTGGCAAGACATGGGTATACATAGGAAGATATGGTATAGCTCATCCAACCTCTAACTGGCAGTTTTACTTCTTTACCTTTTGTGTCTTCATGAGGTTTTCACAGCACAACACAAAGTTTGCTAAATTTGACAGGCTATTTGGTGAATGACAGTTCAGTTACCATTATAAAAATCTCAGTTTTTTTAACAGGCATATCCTGTGAAATTATAAATTCTAGGGAATGGCAGAAGCAGGATACGTAACAAACACAAGAAATCATTAAATATGGAAAACCTGAAATTATTCTATTAATTAAAAAGAAATAAAAAATAATGATTTTAAGTTCTGAATTTCATTAACTGAATTTTATCATTTGTAAAGAATTTGTGGATCTGTCTAAAAAAATTTACAATCTAACAAGATGTCATTCTGATTCACATCATTATAATCAACTCAATGAAAACTAACTATGTCATCTCTATCTCTTAGAGTAAATTTTGGCAAGGCTTTGGTGCTCAATTGTTCAGTTAAGTAGCAGACTAGCTATTGCAGTGTTTTTTTAGATGTGACTAACATCTGAATCAGTAGACTTTGACTAAAGCATATTACCTTCCACTGTGTGGGAAGACCTCATCCAAAAAGCTGAAGCCCTAAAAAGAAAAGGCTGAAGTTCCTTTGGATTCAAGACTGAACCATTAATCCTTTCCTAGATCCCCTGCCTGCCAGTCTCTGATCTGTGCTACAGATTTCAATTTCAAGATTGCCCTCTCACACAACTGCCAATTCCTTAAAATGTCTCTCTGTTACTTTCTCTCTATTTTTTTTCTATAGGTTCTCTTTCCCTGGAGTCCCAAAACACAGGATCCATAATTTTATACCCAATTTTTGTATGTATGCATATTGAAATAAATGTCCCAATGACTGTATCTGACTTACTTGTATGTCTTGGTAACATTCTCCATTATACACTCCATATGATATAAAAATAAGTGAATGTACAATTCAAGCAAACAAAATAAACTATTACCTTTAACTGGACAAATGGAAAATGCCATCCCTCTTGCTGTGTTTACAGGCTGCCATTCAAAGTGTGCAAAATAATTCTGATGATTAAACAACCTAACTGTACCCCGAAAACATTTTTTCACCAAGAAGCCATGTGGTTTCAGTACTAGCTCACTGGAAGACAGCTCCAGTCTTACGGGGTGGATAACAGCCATCACAAGGATGTGTCCACCGGGGATATTGTTTACTGTAAAAGTGAAAGACCTGTAACAGCAAAAGCATGCAAAGTTCACTGATAGTAGTCATTTGCAGTAACAGATTTAGTTATATGTAAAAAAAATCATGTATTTTTTAACAGTCATAGTTAATCCTTAGTACACAATACATTGAAATAATTATTAAAGATCATTAACTACCACTGAAACAGATCTACAAATGATGCACATATAGTTTCCACTTGGAAGGTGCAAGTATATAATGGTTAGGGTAAATAAATGCATATTCTAGAAAAGGACACTTTATTCTGGCAAATAGAAAAGCAAGAAAAAAAGAATACTTACTTCCAAAATTTTCCAACAGTGGGAGATTCAAATAACACTGAAATATGAGTGCTAGATGTAGGTGGAATCACATAGGAAAATTGATTAGTTTTCCGAAGTTCATCCAAATTAACATCTAACTGGATGAAAATATGCATGGGTAGCATATTAATAACATGCAGTAGACGAGTATTTGTGGAGTTCACACAAACATCACCAAAGTTAAGAACAGTCGGCCCTGAAAAATGAACAGCAACTTATTAAGTTTAATGTTGGCAAATGTGTGCATTTATTGATATTTTTAAAATTTGTATATACACCATGATCAATTAATTCATAAAACAGCATTTTAGAATATGTATTATAGTATCACAAATGATTAACCAAGTTTTTAATCCCAATGGCCATAATTTGATGTTTGAGACTAGTAGCTAAAATTCAGTATTCTAATTATTTTATATATTACAAATATAATTATCTGGGGAAAAAATGATATGACAAAGTCACCAGCATCAGATGCTTTATTTCATGGGAGGGGCTCTGAAAGCTGGTTGGAAGCTTTTTAAGTCTTTATCTATAAAATTCTTTCTGAAAGGACCTCTCTCAGGAAGACTTAATCTGATCTCTCTTTAAATTTAAACCTGCTTCCTTCGTTTCCCCACAGAGAACACCCCCTTTCTTCCCCAACCTCCCTGTTTTAGCTAAATTATTTAAGATGGTGTCTAACGCCATGTTGGTGAATTACCCACTCGTGCTGGATGTCTAGCTTGTATACAGGAAACAGACATGTTATGACTGACATTGTATAGGACTCTTTCTAGTATCAATCTCTCTGATATTTGTTTGATTATTTCCCAGCCTGGACCCAGAATGGTGCAGGAGGATTTCCTTTATGGCCCAAGCAAATCAAAACTTAATTGTACTTTGTCTTTCTCAAAAGTAGAAATTTAAACGAACCAGTCAGGTGTTTCCTGTGCCACACTAGTGAGGTCCTCTGCTTGGCAAAGACACCCCCTTGCCTTTTGCTAAAGGAAGGTGGCTTTGTCTGAAGTAATCCTTCTTTTCTTTGACTAATAACTTTGTCCTACCTGACAAAAAAACCTGACTAAAAAACCTTCCATTTTATACAACTTCGTGCAGAGCCTTGTTGTATTATTTGATGGCATGCTGACCACCTCAGGAATCGCTGAATAAAGCTAGCTAGATATTTAAAATGAAATCAGATATTTTGATAGTTAACAACTTCAATATTTTTTTTTTTTTGAAAATACAGACTTTAGCAGGTACCATAGATACTTACCAACTACTACTTGATGAATTTGCTTTGGTGTCAAAAGTAAGCTGCAATCATATTTTTCATGAGGGGTAGAGGGGTATGATTTAAGTCCATTGAGAACCTGTGAAAAATTGTATATTCCAAAATTAATGGTTTAATATTAGCAGAAGCTATTTTAAGAAAATAGCTGTAATAAAATGCTGTAATAAACCATAAACTACTGCACGTGCCTTTCTTTTCAGACACTTTGTCTCTTTGGAAGATATAGTCCTGGTACTCAGCAATTGATGAGGTTTGACCTGAGACTCTGAGGTAGAGACCTCCTCTTCTATTTCTGCTTCTGAGAGTACAGGTGACTTTAGGCCCGATGCTTGCTGTAATCCTTCCTCTGTATCACTATATGAACTTCTGTATAACCTATTTAAAACATAATACTGAATATCTGAGGCCAAGTCCTTTAGAAAATACATCTGTAAACCCAAATATTCCCCATCGTGCAAGCTGTTGCTGATCCACTCAGAACCACTTATACAGACTTATGTATTAAGCTGCACAAAATTGCCCACTGCTAAGGAGATCGCATTGTAAAATCCCTCCCCAAGGAGGTTATGCCCACCCTGCCATACACTGGGACAGCTCTCCGTCAATGCCTGACACGGTAACACAATAAAGTCCCTTTGACTGAAGGCAAGAATGAGTATGCAGTATAATAGAAGCACAAAATATCCGAGGAGTCAGGCTGAGTGTAAACCTTATTTGAAACACATTATTTCCAAGTTACCACTCCTGCGCTATCTTGCTTCCCTTAGCCTACACAGATTTCTCCTAAAATAACTCTCTCCAAACAATTCACATGCTGGAATCCCTGTCATGGCTTGCACCTGAGGAAACCCACTATGAAATTTCCAATGAAAAGATAGAAGGATATTTATAGTCAAAGTAGTGTACTGGTGATATTTCATATATGAAAAAGACATTTCTGTCACTAACAAGAAACTAAGGATAAAGAAGAAATCCCTGGATCCACAGGCACCATGAGCTGTTTCATATTGATTGAGGAAGTGAACTTTACCTATCCGATTCTTTCTCTAGGCGCACATCTCTTAAATATTTAATGTAGTTTGCATAATAGTTCTCATGTTCTCTCTTTTTTATTTTTTCAGCTTCAGTATATGTATAGTCAATATCCACGTAGTTATATCTTGGAATCTTTGTGAAAATTGTCCTACAATATGAACAAGTCATATTAATTTAGATAAATATGCATTTATTCAATCAGCATTAAACGTTATCTATGCCAAGGGCTGGAGGAAAATGTGGTGAATGGGACAGATTGCAGTCCTTTCCTTCATATTCTATATCAAAATATTGTAATACTTAGCATTAGAGTGATATCTAATTTTCTTCTTCATCTAATCAGAAACCAGTCCTTAGAGTCATTAGAAAATAAAGGAATTTATCCTAAAACCACCCTAAAGGAATTAGTCAAACAAGAAATTTGGACAATTCTAGATTACAGGTGGGACTAGCTCTGAATATGATTCTGTTGGAGGAACTGTATAGATGCCAACCCTACCTGTTTGCCAAAGAGTTCTCAGGCTCTAAGGACTACAACTCCCATCATGCCACAGATCTACCATGATGCTTATCTTCCTGAACTGGGGGTTTGCTGGAAACTAGGTTGGAGTTAGGTAGCAATACTTGGAATAAACCTGAAAACATGTGGGTTGTCACACTCTTGGCTTTTCCTGCATTTAGCATGTACCTGCAAGGGTCCCAGCTCAGACAGTGTTAGTGGCAGGATATACTGACCAATTTTTTTGTCTATGTTCTTCATCTTGTATTTTCCTTTAAAAAAATCTACATCTGTTTACTTCCTTTTTGAAGAATATACTCCAGGAAATACCTCTGCAGCTTTGACTAGGTGATTTCCTTAAGTGTGTAAAGCACAAGAGCTTACACATAAAATAAGTAAAACATTTTGTCCTTATTTATTTATTCACAAATATTTACCACATGCCAACTATATGTCTATATTTTAAGCAGGGGACATAATGCAGTAAACAAAAACTAGACAAAAATTCCTACCTTACTTTCTACTCAAAAACTGTAAAGGTAAAATGCACTAAAAAAATAAAATAGTAATTATAATTACCAACAATTTAATATTCTGTAAAATCTCATTCCTTAAAGTTACTAATTGCTAACACAAAAATAACTGAACTAATTTCGTGTTTCTATTCATATAGAAAAGAGAAAATTGAGAAAAAACAATTACGACAATAGGATAAATGGGAAATGTTTAACCTTCATCAAAAAATATCAGGCATTTTAAAATTATCTGATTAATATTTATTAAAACAGAAATGCACTGTTAATGTTATGTTAACATTATGCTGCTAAAAGTAACACAATGGATTGCCACATATTCTCTGTTACAGATTCCCCCCATAATATATACCAATTTGGGTAAAAAATTAATTAATGCATAATGTGCCTGTGTGTCTATCTGGCTATCCATCTATATGCATAAGGGTAGAGTCAGAGAAATAGTGAAGAACAGACTCCAAGCCAGTGAATGATGTCCTGAATGTGTTCTACCCTCATCAACAAGCTGACGAGATCTCAAGTACCTGGATTCCAATTTCCAGTAAGCCATGAACCGGACTTCCTGAACCAGGAGCAGTTGAGAGGTAAAGTGGATACATATTGGAGGTTGAACAAAAGACAAAAGGGGAACACTTGGAGTAGAGACACATGGCCAAGAAATGCACAGAGATGCTGTTACTAGTGTTCTGGCAGAGTTTTGACCTCATGGAGAGTCAAGTGTATGTTTTGAATTCATAGGCTCTCCTGTTCCAGCTCTCGGGGACGTTCCTAACCCCTTTCTGGTGGTCCCCAGATGGAAGATGGAAGGTACCTTGGACTTGTGACAGCTTTCAGGCTTTAGCTGCCCTGCTTTAGGTCAAGTCTATTTGGCTGGGCATTTGCCCATGAGAGCATAGGCCATTTTTGGAGTCTGATGAGGACTTCATTCTTCCTCTTGCTATGTAAGCCAATAAATGATCTTTCACATTAAGAATCTACTTTTTTGCCTATGTGTGTATAGATAGCTGAACCCTTTTAGAACTCACAAAATGGGGTTTTCCCTGTAACAGCCTGGGATCCCTCAATATCCTTCAGTCACACAGTCACAGTAGGAGAAAACTAAAAGGATACCTTAAAAATTATTTCCTGAAGAATACTAAGCTTCCAATAAAAAAGTAGATGCTCCACAATATTTACTGCAGCATTACTTACAAAATTTAGGCTTTGAATACAACCTGATTCACAGAGGACCAGACAAAAAAGATGTGGTATGCCCACAGAATAGAACGGAGAAGGATAATGTGGCATATCCATTTAAATTAATACTACTCCAGAATAAGGAGAGAAAAAATGTTATAGTACACCAGAATGGACGGAGCTCAAGGGAATTATGTATATCAAAGATAAAAAACAAAAGCAATGACTTCACATATATGATCAAGATACGGAATCAAAGATAATGAACTGACAAAGCAAATGGTTATATATGATTGGAAAACTGATAACTAAATTGAAGTTTCTGAAGTTAAGAGGAAGTTAAGAATCCTAAATGGAGGGGTAAGGGAGAAAGAGCCAAAAGGATAGGTGGAAGGGGAAAAAATACAGGCCTCACACTTACCTTCTACTGGGTAAATACTGACATATCAAAAATTCACACGTCAAAAAAAAAAATCAAGAATCAGGCTCTCCCTGGTGGCGCAGCAGGTTAAAGCACAGCACTAAGAAGCCAAAGCAACTTCAGCATGAGTTCGATCCCCACCTTGGAGGTGACCCACATGGTACAGCAGACCTCTTAATGATTTACCAAAAGAAAAGACACAGAGCAACTTCAAAGATATTATCAAGTTTAGACAGTCTACTAATAGCTCAGGAACAGTCAATTTCAGTCTCATATGTGTAGAAATCACTGTTGGGCAAACAGCCCAAATAAAGATGCCACAATGTCTAGGTTTCTTCTTACTATCAACACATGTAAATTCAGGTTTACTATCACTTATCATCCTATCTGGGGAGTTTTTAGTTCAATTTGGGAAAGGCTGCTAGAAATGTCACTTGAGGGGAAATGAACGAAGATATTGATGATGATGATGATGATGACGAATAAGATGATTGATTTTTCACAATTTAAAAAAATTACTTTAAACCATAGATAAAATTCTAGCTCTCAACAAGTTAATGAACATGAATGTGCTGAAGAATTCATAGATTCTGAAAAGTGATTGTTTCCATCATTCTATATTAGTCACATCATATTCTAAAAATCATCTGGTAAGCCATTCACTTCTCAGCAAGCACACCTTAGCGGCGATAAAAGGTTAGATAAATGCACTAGCAATTCAACAAACCTCTCCTCCAATGTAGAACAATGAGCAAATACAAGTTCATTGCAATTATAACTACTACTACTAGTACTTCTACACTACCACTACTACTGGAGCTGCTGCTGTCATCATTAGTTACAGCAGGATATGTAAGACTTCTCCATGTCATGTTAGTCATTAGGTTTTTCAAAATTTTCAAGTGTTTTAAATATCACATTACCTGAAATGCTTACGTTGGTCTCCAGACCTGATACTTGCAGTTCGGTCATTAGGGAAGGCTACCAGAGCATCCTTCACTGACTGTTTACCTGGACGATGATCATGAATGTTTGTCAGTTTTGACTGAAGCATTGCGACATGTGTGTAGTCTCTGCATTTTGCTGCATCTTTGACCACAAACTGTCCCGTCGGATTACTGACCAAAGGAGATATACCTTTTATAGAAATGAGTATTACGTTTAAACATGATTTTATGAATTCCAGCTTTCTAAAAAATATCCATTAGTTAATACACTATTAATTCTACATTATTGGCTCTAAGTCCCTAAATATTCTGAAAGTAAAATTAACTCATTTAATAAATTAACCTACACAAAACAATCTAGCAAAATAAGTAATAAAAATGCATTCATAAAAAAAAATGGTAATTTGAAACACTGGATTGACCCATATGAAACTGAAGTTTGTATAGGTTAAGGAAAGCTAAATATCAAGCTATTGCATATGGTTCAAGGCCAGAATGATTACTGAGGATTATATGGGAATATATATAAAACCATGAGTCTTGAATAGTCCATTTCATGGACCAATGTCACAGCAGTGACCTGGTAGCTAAGTGAGGCTGATTTGCATTTCTCTTATAATAAATGAAGTGGAATATTTCTTCGTATATCTACAGGCCACCTGAAGGTCTTCTGTGAGAAGTGTTTGTTGAGGTCCTTGGTCCATTTTACAATATTTGATACATTTTATCTCTCATTAAAGCAGTGTTAATCAAAGTATGATCCTCAAAATGACATTAGAATCTACTGGGAACATGTTAATAATGCAAATCTTTGGGATCCAGCAAAGATTAACTTAAGAATCAATGCTGGGATGATATGCCAGTTTAAAATAAATATGCCTATTTATTTTAATAGGCCTTCCATGTGATTTTGATACATACAAAAAAGATAAAATCTACCTAGTTAGACCATATTTGAAATAGGTAGCTCAGTAATTAGTATATTAAGATAGTCCTATGGTAACCAAATTAACAAAAAAAAATGCAAGCATTCACAAAAACTAACCAGGATTAATTTCCATCACAACATTTTTGCTGGAAGGTTTACAGACACTGTTGAAATCTAAATGTATTTGAAGAAAAGGTTTCATTGATGTAGACTGTAAATTTTCATCTGCTACTGAGCCAATAATTTGTATTGACTGCTTCACACTGAAGACCCCAACTTGATGTGGAATGAATGAACATGTCACATTCTAGAAGGAAAAAAAAAAGCAAAGTAAGTAAATGGTATCCATCATTTGAGAACATCCAAAACTCATGTTGAAATCTAAAACTCCATATAATGGAATTATGAGCTGGAGTTATGTGTCAGGGGGTAAAAGTAGCTCATGAGGATCGAGACTCCTGATTAGCATTCTTATAAAAGAAGCTCCACCACTATCTCTAGTCCCTTCTACTATCTGAGGATACCAGAAGTTTTCTCTATGGTAGAGGGCCCTCACCCAATCATGTTGGCATCCGGATCTAGGACTTCCATAAACCAGGGCTGTGAGAAACAGATGTCTTATTTATAAAGAAGACACTTTATGGCATTTGGTTATAGCAATACAAATGGATTAAGAAAACAATACTGTACTATTAGAAAAACAAAAAAATCAAAAGTCAACCCCAAAAATATTTTATAAAATTTTAAGGGAAGTTATCTTATCAAAATGGTAAAATATGCTTTAGAAATAGATACTTAATTGACAAACCTTTAAAATATACATTGTTGGAAAATAAGAAAAAAATAAGAATAATGGTACTGAAGTAATCCCAGAGTGACAGCTGAAAGACCTCCAGACATTTACTCCTTTAAAACAGGAAAAGAAGACTGCCAAAATCAACTTTTCACGGCCCTCTCTGGTGGCACAGTGGGTTAAAGCACAGCACTAAGAAGCTTAAGCCACTTTTACATGAGTTC